GGATAACCAGGGCTGTTACAGAGAAAACCTGTCTTGAAAAATAATAAATAAATAATGCTTGAAGCAATCATAAATCTAACACTAAATGAATACATTTTAAAATTATTATTGTTATTGTTGTTTTGCTTTTCTTTTTTTTTTCTTTTTCTTTTTTAGTTGTTTTGCTTTTCAAGACAGGGTTTCTGTGTGTAGCTGTGACCATCCTGGAATTACTTTGTAGACCAGGCTGGCCACGAACTCACAGAGGTCTGCCTGCCTCTGCCTCCTGAGTGCTGGGATTAAAGGCATGCACCACCATGTCTGGCTAATTTTTTTAAAATCTTTTTAAAAACTTGTTATTATTTTATTTTATGTGTACAGATATTTTGCCTGCACATATGTCTGTGAAGGGTGTGTATGACTGGTGCCCTCAGAGGCCAACAGATAGGTTCAGATTCCCTGGCACTGGAGTTGCAAAAGACTGTGAGCTGTCATGTGGATGCTGGCCACTAAATACTTATTTGATTATATAATAAAGTACTGAGGGTGTTTTCTTTGTTTGCTTGTTTTTATGACAATGTCTCATGTGTTCCAGGCTGGTCTTGAACAACCTACATAACAGATGATGATCTTGAATTTCTGATTCTCCTGCCTCTATCCTCAGAGTGCTGTGATTATAGGGGTGATCCATTAAGCCCAGTTTTGCAGACCTGCGGATTGAACAGAGGGCTTTGTACATACATATTAGGCAAGCACTCTGCCAACTAAGTTTATCTGTTTACTTCCTCCCTCACTTTTGTTTTTGAGACTGGCCTCAGTATTCAGCCCAGGCTAGCCTCAAACTCACAATCTCCCTCCACCAGCCCCTCAAATACTGGGGTGGCAGGCATTCACCAATTACTGCGGTTTCACATTTTTTTATTAGCATGTATCTATGTATTTGGTACATATGCTACTTGTATTTAAAAGTATATGGACGAGGGACTGCCTCTGACATAAACTGATTAACCTGCTCTTTGATCACCTCCCCCTGATGGGGGAGCAGCCTTACCAGGCCACAGAAGATGAAAATGCAGCCACTCCTGATGAGATCTGATAGACTAAGATCAGAAGGAAGGAGAGGGGGACCTCCCCTATCAGTGGACTTGGGGAGGGGCATGTGTGAAGAAGGGGGAGGGAAGGTGGGATTAGGAGGGGAGGAGGGAGGGGCTTATGGGGGATACAAAGTAAATAAAGTATAATTAATAAAAAAAAAAGTGTATGGGCACGTGAATGTGAGTACAAATGGAAACCAGAGTTTGACATCAGGTGTCTTCCTTAATCACTCTCCACTTTATTTTCTGAGACAAAATCTCTCAGTGAACTGCAGACTAGCCTAGTTTGCCCTGAGAATCCTACCTTTACTTCCTGAGCCTTGGGTTACAGGCAGGACATTACACTTATCTATTTTTATGTGGGTGCCGGGAGTCTGAAGTCTGACCCACAGTGTGTGTGTGTGTGTGTGTGTGTGTGTGTGTGTGTGTGTGTGTGTATACAAATCTAAGCTGGACTGGGTTACAAAGTGAGACCCTGCCCTCAAATATAGATAGATAGATAGATAGATAGATAGATAGATAGATAGATAGATACATACATACATACATACATACATACATACATACATACATACATACATACATACGTGGGTGGGTGGATGGGTGGATAGATGGTGTGGTAGTTAAGAGCACAGGCTGCTCTTCCAGAGGACCTGGGTTCAATTCCCAGCACCCACATGGTTCACAGTCATCTGTTAACTCCAGCTCTAGGGAACACAACTCCTTCTCTGGCCTCAAGGGTACTCAAACTCACATGCACATGTCCACGCATACATATAATTTTAAAAAATTATACACATAATTTTTAAAAAACACACAAAAATACAAAAACAATTCCAGCTATTCAGGAGGCTATAAAGAGGATCACAATACCAAAGCCAGCCTAAGCTGCAAAGTACAGGCTAGCCAGTGTAACTTAGGAAGACCCTGTCTCAAAACAAAAAGTAAAACAGAGCTGGGGCTACAGTGCAGTGGTTAGACCACTTGCCAAGTATCTACAAGGCTTAAATCAGCAGCGGGGGGAGGGGCGCGGGGGGTGGTAGTCGGGCAGTACTGAATAGGTGAAGTAGGAAGCAGAGGGAACAGCAAGTTAAGCAACAGACAATACAAGTTAACATTTACTGGATTCTGACTTTATCTTTGGTGCTTACTGGGTTATCGGTGCTGGGCTAGGGCTAAGTGTTTTACACAAAGTAACACTCTGGCCATCTCACAGTGTTTGTGAGACACATGCTGCTTATATGCCAGATGAAGAGTCCTATGTCCAGAGACAGTAAACAATTTGTCTACAATAACCCAGTAACTAACAGGTTGAGATTCAAACCTGTGCTTGCTTGGCTCTGAAGTCCTATAACTTCTGTGCACAAGCGCTGGGGTCTACTGTGTATAAAGGAGAAGCCTGTGCGCAAAAGAACAAGGGATCCCTAAATACCCTAAAGGTCTGGATCATGTTCCACAAGGGGGCCCACTGCTAACAGTTCCATAGGAAGAATGCCCTAGTACAATGCCCTATTGTCGATGATGCAGTGTCTGCTCGAAAGACAGGAATACAGGCTCCCAGAAATTCTATAGGAAAGTGGGCAGCATCAGGAGTAAGGGAAGCAAGAAGAGAAGCCAGAAAAGGTAACAGTGTTCACCTTTAGATTTACCCAAATAAGGATCTACCTCAAAGAAAAAACTAAACATCTTTGTAACAGGAAAAAAGGATTTTTCTTTCCTCAAGTTCCAGTCAAACCCGAATCTTAAAGTATCTTATCCTTCCCCATTTCACTCATATACTAAAGGCAAACAATTTTTCTTGCAGGTTAACATTAAAATCATAAAATCTTCCACTGCACTTTAACTTCAGTAAGTCTCGTATTTTAACACTATTTTTCACTTGGCAAGTCTAGTTTTCAAGGTAAATAATAAATGAATGATCTCAACTTAACCTCAGAGGTTTCTACACTGGATGAATCACCAAGCCTCCTCCAGCCATAAGTATCTTTCTTCAAAGGAATCATTTAGGTCTCAGAGATGGGAACTCAGCTCTCTGTCCTTCACTACCACCTGGTTGGAGGGTCTGGAATTAGGGACATCTCTAACTTAGTACATCTGCTACAGCTGGGCCTGAGAATCACTTTAGACCGGTGGTTCGCGTCCTTCCTAAAGCTGCAACCCTTGAATACACCTCATGTTGTGGTGTGCCCAACCATAAAATTATTTTCATTGCTGTTTCATAACTGTAATTTTGTTACTGTTATGAATCGTAAATATCTGTGTTTTCTGATTGTCTTATGCTACCTCTGTCGCCTCCTTAAAGGAGTCCAACCGAGATTGGGAACTCCTGCTTTAGATCTATGTGTTTAAAAAGCGGAACTTCGCTTCTGTCTTGTGTAAGAAACTAGTCCCCCAAAAGGCATCGCCCCTCGCTGTGTGTGTGTGTGTGTGTGTGTGTGTGTGTGTGTGTGTGTGTGTGTATGGGGGTTGAGACCGAACACTTGTGCTTAAACTTCAGATTTACAGGGCCACTTCTTGCTTTCCCAAACAGTCGGTCTTGAAGACACTGCACAGGCAGTGTCTTAGCTCAGAGTTGGGAGGAACCACTCGCTAAACTGGCTTAGCAATTCCTCAGGAAGGCTCAACCCTCAGACCAACACCAACACACGATGATCCCAAAGACCTTGGGGGAAGAAAGAGGCTCTTTCACCTAACTTCTCTATGCATTGCCACCCAACAGGCCCAGGGCTGGGCCAGAATGAAGAGGCTTGTAGGTGCACACCTCGCGCCGGCCAACCAATCCTCAGGAACCCGTCCTTCTAAATTACAGGGCTAGCTCAACGAGGTCAGAGGCAACCCAAGCAGGGGCAAACCACTGCGGTTCTCGACGTCTTGTTTATGTCTGGGCCCGGCGCGGAGCCGCAACTCCTTTCTGACATGCCCGCCATCCGCTCGCGGATTCCCAGAGGCCTCGCAGACCCCTCAAGACCCTCGGTTTCCGGCTCCCCGGCTCAGGGCGGCCTCCACTGTCGCCTCTCAAGGCCCCTCAGACAGCCCGGACCCTCGGCTCACCCTCGAGCGTCTCGCACTGCACCAGGTTGAGGTAGTCCGCCTGGCTGAGCACCCCGGCCTTCAGGCCGCGCACCAATCCCTCCAAGTAGCCATTGTCCACGTTGAAATAAAGCTCCGGGAAGAACGACATGGCTGCGGCGGGGGCGGCGGGACCGGAGAGCCCCGATCAGCCCGCAACTCGACTCCGAGATCAGCTGACGCGGCGCCCGCAGCGGGCTGTCAAGCGCGTCAGGTGACGCGCAGCGCCCCACGTGACCCCAGCCGGGCTGGCTTTTAATCGTATCTAGCTTCCGCGTAGCCTGGCGCGCAAGCGTTCTCGGGAGTGAGCGGCTCCCCGCCCTCTGGGCGCCTGCGCACTAGAGAGAGGCGGGGCTTCGGCGCCTAGCGGAGCAAAGGAGCGTCGTCGATGTTGGAAGTCGACCGCGTGGTGGCGCTAAAACCCTCAGGATTCGAGCAGGGCCCTCAGTTTAGTTTTCCCTGGTTAGGCGTGTCTGTCTGGCCAACCAGGTAAAGGTGAGCTTGTGTGCAGTTCCTTACGCTGTCGAGGCTGACTCCTACCAGCCGGAAACCGAGGTCCTGGGAGGGGAGGGTTTTGGAGCAAAATGTTTATCCACTAGCTAGACTTTACGCCGGTAAGCCGTGCTGCACTCTCTTTGCCTGCCTGTGTTGCACTGGATTCCCTAGGACCGGCGTGTGTCCTCCTGCTTTCCCCAAAGGGTCCAGGTGCCTTAAAGTCGCCCGTGTACGTGGCCCAGATGATAAGAGTGACTTAGACCCTTAGGTTATGGTGTGTGTAGTTCCGCCCCCTACCCTTCGGTGAGCCCAACAACCCTTCGACAGCCACGTTTCGAAATAACCACAGCTTTAGGATCGGTCCCATCCTTTATTCGCGTCCCCTGCCTTTGCCCAACATCCGTAGGCTAGGTGCGGCTGCAGAGGTTTGTGGCAGTACCCAGCTTGCGGCAGTAGCAAAAGGCATTGAAGAAGCGGCAGTAGCACGTGGCGCACGGGTCGCAGCAAGGTACCTGCTGCCCCAGGCAGGACTCGTGCAGCCTTACACAGCGACGCGGAGAACGAGACTCGCGGTTCTGGGGATCTAGCACCTGCATTCGTAGGCAAGTAAGAACGTCTGACCTCAAGTTCAGAAAACCCTCCCACCCGGATCCCAGTAGGATGGCAGTAGGCGGTGGGGCAGGGGTGGTCTGCAGTTCTGCCCAGGTTGGGCAGTCCGGATGATGGTGCCCCGATGCTCCCTACCTTCTGCTTTATCCCTTTCCCTGAGGGGTTACCTCTGCCAAAGCTTCTGCCTTCTGCAGCAGAGCTTCTTCTGCTCCGTCTGCAGTTTTCTTCTTCATGCCATTCAGACTTAGTCCTAGGGCAGAGGATGTAAGGGCCACGCCCTCCACGCACCAGCGTACTCACCTCCCAAGGTTGGGACTGGGGTTTGGGAACTAGGGCTTGGCCCCAGGCTGGCTGATTCGTAGCCAGCAATTGTCCTCACCACACACACCCCCAACCTGACCATACTTACTTGGGAACTCTGGGAACAAGGCCTGGTCAGGCCTTCTGATGCCTTCCAGTGGTGCCATGGCCATCTGGACCCCTAGCGTAGGAGGCAGGACCAGCAGCAGGACACAAGTCAGCAGCGTGACAGTCAGCATGGCCTGGTTTAGCAGGAAAACAACCCCATTTAATCCCTCCCTATCCTTACAGTACCCTACCAAAGCAGAGAGAGAGAGGGAAAGGGAGGGAGAGAGAGGTTCCCAGAAAGTAGTCTTTGCACTTACCTTTGCTTGCTGATCCTTGCCTAGAGAGTTCCTGGCCACTTGTACCCTGAGCTTATATGGCAGCGTCTAATAAAGGGCCCACACGTGACTGCCTCCTGCAGCCAAGGCATGAGGGGGCCTCTCAGGAAAATGGGGACACAATTCAGGCTTTCTCCCTAAAACCTGAACCTTTCAGTATTCTATTAGAGAAGTACCCATCTCCAATTTGGCATGAGGCAGCCAGGAACCAATTAAACTTTGGGAACAACATAGGGTGTCCAGACCCCAAATTTCCATAAGACCAGAACCTAGGGATGGGTCAGGCTAGAACCATTAACAATAATAAGGCAGGCAGCCCTATGACCTTAATTTAATTTTCTGGCCCCACAGATGTTCACTTAGTCTATATGGCATATTGTTTCCTTTGCTTCCAGGAACTTTGGTCAAGGGCACCAAAGAGAGCCACCCAGTGAGTGTCACCAGGAAGGGCTGGAGTGAAAAACTAGACCCAAGGTTTCTTTGGAAGAGAAGTCAAAAAAGCCCTTCCAGCTAAAGCCAAGCCCCCCTGGCTCTACCTCCTCTTTCTCTTCTTTAAGACCCCTACTCTTATTCCTGTTCACCAAGCTCCTTTTCACCTAGGGTTCCTGGAAACCAAGGGAGCAGAACGTACTGTTCCCAGGGTGGGCACACAGCTTCAGAGTAAAAAGCTTTCAGGCTGCCTGCTTCATTAGTGTTAATGGCTGCTTCCTTCCACTCTGTTTTGCCAGGTCTCTGCCCACGCCTGGTCTCATCAGTTTGAGGACATGGTGAGGGCTACCCACAGGACTGTTTTTTTGTTTGTTTGTTTGTTTGTTTTTTAATTGAAACAGGCTCTTACTATGTAAGACCACGCTGGCCTCTAACTTACAGAAACCTGCCTGCCTTTCTTTACCTCATAAGTGCTGGGATTAAAAGCACGTGCCACCACATTTGGTGGTGTTGGCGGGGTTGTTGTTTTTGTCTGTACCCCAAGTGCATGCCCAGTACCCAGGTTGGTCAGAAGAAGGCTTTTGGATCCTCTGGAACTGGAGTTACAGATGTTTGTGAACCACCATAGAAGTGCTAGGAACTGAATCTCTGTCCTCTGCAAAAGCAGGTAATGTTCATAACCTCTGAGCCAACTCTCCAGCCCCTTGGTAGACTTTTTTGAAAAAACTATACACATGCCTATTTGGAAAAGAAATACAGGTTGGATCATCTTGGAGATCCCAGTGCACAAGGCAATGAGAAATGATGGAATAACTGTCAGGATATACAGCCTAGTCCATGCTGACTCTTCTAACCAGGTGGCTGCCTGAGGAAATCCTCCCACCAGGAAAGAGGACAACAGACTGCTTGTAATGGAAGTTTTGGTTTCTTTGTATGTTATGTAAATATGCTTTTGTTTTAATCCCAAGTATGGGATTTTAGTTGAGCTATAATTTGTCCACACCTGTTAATTGTCTTGTGCGGAGTGTGGTGTTTGGTGTGGCGCATAGCAGTTTGCAGAGACCAGAGATGGTGTGGCGGTTTGGAGCAGGCAGACAGACAGAAGTGTTTCGGGGCTCATCGGTGTGGAGGAGCCTGCTGGCTGCTTCTGCGATTGACGGAGATTGGTATGGAGCCCTAAAAGAACCCCTTGACCCTAAATGGCGGGGAGAAGTAAAGGAGTCTGGGCCCCCCTCTCCCCACTAATCTTTTCTCTATCCTTCTTAAGTTGGGTGGGGGATTGGTAGAAGGGAAGTAGAGGCCTAAACACCCCAAATAAAAGAAAATTTTTAAAAAGCATGCAGCCTTCATCTAGAGTTCACATCAATTAGTGTTTAGGTTCAAGCTTCGTGGGAAAGAGGTGCTCTGCGGAGGACGGGCCTATAGCACGAACAAATCCTGGCATCTGAAGTCAGGCTCAGGCAAACATTGGTGTCTGGGGTCAGGCTGGCATTACATTCTTCTGCAGGTGACTCAGGGCACAGTCCTCAGAGCTCAGAGTCTGTTTCTACTTCCCAGGTTGAGGAGCAGGGAAGCCCTGCTTAGGAAGCAGTCCCTGAGCTCTCCCTTTAGGATAGCAAGGGTCAGCCTTTCTTCTCCCCTGAGAAGGGTGTAGGCAGTTTGATGAGGCTGTCACTGAGCAGGCATGGCACTGGGGCCTGTTTGGAAGCTGATCTGGAAGTTTGGTGCTCTATTTCAGGACTTTATTCTGAAGTGACAGGGGAAAGAAATCGGACTATATCCTAGCTGCATCACTTGGAGTTCAGGAACAGCAACATGTGAAGTACATATGTGATACTTTTCCCAGTGTCATATTTTTTAGCCTCTTATTGGAGATTCTGACTGAAAATGTAAACAGGGACAGCTTGTGAACTGGAAAGGTGCCCCAGTAAGCTGATGCACACTTGTAATCTCAACACTTGGGAGGCTGAGGCAGGAGGATTGCTGAGAGTGGCTCTGGACACTTGGCCATACCTATTTACCATCTATCCTCAGTGCAGCTCTTCCTGTCTCCAGTGAGCCTCCTCCTACCCTGAAGGTCTGCTCTCTTCACCTGGTAGTGTGTGCACAAGTGGACAGCCCATTGGGCTGTGGCAGACAAGGGCCCCGCTGCTTAGAAGGTGATTCATGATCCTAGGCAAGTACAGTGGGGAAGACAGTGAAGAAATCCAGCCATCAAAGTACAGTGACGTAGGCCGTTGGCAAGGGTGTCCGTCAGCAGAGACAGTCAGCTAGCAAAGCCACATGGTACATCTAATAAGGTTCTCTGACAGAAGAGACACTCTTAACCTCAAAGCCTCAGAAGCTCTGGGAGCAGCAGGACTACTGTCTCCTTCTTCTCTGAGTTCACAGCATCCTAAAGGAAGTCAGTGACAGGCCTGCAGATGCATCAGGGTCCAACAGACACCACAGAAACACAGAAGCAATCATCTTAACGATGTGGAGATGCAGAATAATCATCATGGCCGTTGTTTGCCATCAGACAAAAAGAGTTTTCTTTACAGGAAAGGACTTCCAAAATGACAAGGGAAAACTGTATATTAAATATAAATAAATAATTTTAATGCAATATAGAAAATTTAGATAGGTACTTATATCTCCTAACTTATGTGGCTTGGTTAGCTTCTTTAGAAGCTTACCTAATTGTTTATGTACCTCACACGTTCTTCCTTTTTTAAGATTTATTTATTTTATGTATATAAGTGCTGTATTTACATCTATGCCCACATGCCAGGAGAGGGCATCAGATCCTAATATAGATGGTTGTGAGCCACCATGTGGTTGGTGGGACTTGAACTCAGGACTTCTGAAAAAGGAGCCAGTGCTTCTAACCACTGAACTCTCACTCCAGCTCCTTTTCTTTCTTCCTTTCTTTCTTTCCTTATTTATTTGTTTATTTATTTATTGGTTTTTTTTTTCAAGACAGGGTTTCTCTTTGTAGCCCTGGCAGTCCTAGAACTCACTCTGTAGACCAGGCTGGCCTCAAACTCAGTGATCTGCCTATCTCTGTCTCATACAGGCATATGCCACCGTACCCAGCTCCAGCTAAAGATTTTTTTTATTTTATTTTATGTTTATGGCAGCTTTGCCTTGTTGAAAGCCAGACTCACATTAAGTAAATATATAAACTAGGGAGATAATACAAAAGATTATTTATACCTATATTCAGAAAAAATTAGAATGTATAAAATGGAACATGAGAGAACAAAATGGGTAGAGCATAGAAATGTTTCACTAGACACATCAACTTTAAAAAAATAGTGACATAAGTCATGTGTGGTGACATGTGCCTATAATCCCAACAAGTGGGAGGGGGGATCATGGCTTAGAGGCCAGCCTAGGCTACATTATAAAATGCGGGTTTTTAAAAAAGCTTAGTGGCACGATGTGACTTTAACTCCAGTACTCAGGAAGTAGAGAGGCAGGTCTCTGTGAGTTCCAGGCCAGCCTGGTCTACATAACAAGTTCCAGAATAGTCAGGATTACATATGGAGGCCCTCTCTCAAAACAAACCTCAACATGCTAAGTACCTGGATACATGAATACTCCAGAGCCTGTTGGGCCAGTTCAGGCACCCACCTTAGCTGACAGTGGGCAGGGAGTTGGCTAGGGAAGCCTTCCTAGGGGAGGAAACCTCTCTTTGGCCAAGAAACTTGAGTAGGAGTTGAGGAGTGCCACGGCAGTATAGGTTTCTTGGATCATAACTGACACACTGTACCATTTGGTCTAGTTAACACTGCTTAACATGCTCTGCCTCAAAGCTGCTTCCTGCCCAAAGGTGCAGTCCAATAAACAGTTGACTTTCTTTTTTCTTTCAACTGGAAACGGAAAGCCAGTCATCCTCCAAGGTTCAGCTAGAGAATCATCAGCAGGCATCGGTAGCCATCACCACTCTGTGCAGCCTCGGTGAGTGTGCACGGGCTCAGACAACCCACCACAGAACTCAGTATGACTCACCTCATCCATAAGCACAAGCAGAGTCCAGAGGAGGAAATAAACGTGTTTACGCCCCTTCCCACTCCAATCCCCTTGCCTTCCAGTGTGGCCTTACATCTATTCATATAGATAGATATAAATGTTTGGCATGTGCAGATCTGAATGTGTCTGTGGAGGCCCAAGGTTGAACTCCTTGATCACTGTCCACCTTATTCATTGAGGCAGAGGCTCACTCACTAATTTTGCTAACCAGCTTGCTTGTGGGTCCCATGTCTCTGCCTTCCAAGCACTAAAATTACAGGTGGTCTGTCATGAGAACATGACACTTATATAGGTTCTGGCATCTAAATTCTGTCTTCACACTTGTACTGCAAGTGTTCAAATCCCTGAGTCCTCTCCTAGCCCCTACCTAAATTGATTTTTGCAAATAAGCAATCTTTAACTATATTTTGTTTGTTTGTTTGTTTGTAGGCAAGGTCTCTAGATAGCCCTGGCTGTTCTGGAACTCACTATGTAGACCAGGTTGGTCCCCAATTTGCAGAGATTCTCCTGTCTCTGCCTACTAAATGCTAGAATTAGGGCATGCACCATCACACTTGGCTATTTTATTTTACTTTATTTTATTTCATTTCATTTCATAGAGGATCTCCCTATATAGCTCCGTTTGGCCTTAACCCACAGAAATTTGCCTGCCCCTCTGCTTCCTAAGAGCTGTGATAAAAAGTGTATGCCACCACACCCAGCCTC